GACTTGAGCATGTGCTCAAACGAGTACCTTCCCCAAGGAAAGGTAGCACAAAACTGCAGATCGCTAACCGCTCGTAGACATAGGCTATCTATGGGCGTCGCTAACTTCCCCGAGTTCTTGGTGTCCCCGACAAGGATACTCACTAAAAAGTAGAGTATCATCATCTTCAACCTGTCATGAGTACGATCCGGAACCATCGTCTGTAGTTTTTCCTTGACGTCTTCCAATCTTACCCTCCTAAGGTTCCTGAAGTGCTTCCTCTTGAACCTTTCACTTCCCGCGTTCATGTAACCCTCCGGATAGGCCCGACAATCCAAACCCGACATTAAAGCATGCTCTCTCAATCCATATCGGATTGGGACACCGTTAACCACAAACCAAACTTCCTTCTTTTTCTCTATGCAAGCCGTACGAAGAAGGAGCATCCACATTCCCATAACCTTGTGGTTTGGGTCCTTTTTCAAGTGGAATATGTGCTTGAACTGCATATGGTCTTCAAACCACTCCTTCTCGCTCTTCGTCATAGGAATATCCAACCCTTTATCTAGTAGAGACAAAGTTTCATGGATATGGCACCTTGTCGATAGCTTTATCTTCTTGTTGTACTGACTCGGTGGGAAGTACATTCTTAACGGCTGCATTGGTGTCTCGTCGTCGGAATCCTGCAAAAAACAGTAATATTGTCTTAGTTCTACCAGTTTTACACACACAGTTTTACCAATTGTACCTAGTTTCACGAACACAGACAGTTCTACCATTTATACCCAAACGGTTGTACCCAGTTTTACCTAGTTTTACAACACAGTCAGTTTTACTTATAGTTCTACCAGTTTTACTTAACCAGTTCTACCGAGTTACACCTAATTTCACAACACTACCAGTTTTACAGCTAGTTCTACCAGTATTACATGACAAGTTATACCTACTTTTAACGAAATACCATACATCAATTGAATCAAACACCAAATCGTTTAAGACCCTTACATCGTTTTCATTCGAGTTGGTTCCCGAGTTGGAGCTTTCCTCGTCATTATCTCCATCTTTCTCTTTAGAACCTTCTTCTTGTTCTTCTTCTTCTTGTTCATCTTGTTCTTGTTCTTCTTCTTCTTG